TATTTGACAGAGAAACAATAGAATTATATAACAGCTAATGAAGAGATGAAATATCTACTGCATGCAAAATCCATAGACTTAGCCAGGGGGGGCTGCCAGACTTTAGTCCCTCCTTGAAAATTGGAAAACAAAATTATAGCTGTGTTCTTCTTTTACAGAATTAAATCGCTAAAATCCGAGGTTCGATTCCCCGTGGTGGATACAGCAGATAGCCGAATGGAGCTAGTCCCTCCTTGAAAATTGAAAAAAATATATAACTGTGTTCTCCTTTCACAGAATTAAATCGCTAAAATCTGACGTTCGATTCCCCGTGGTGGATACAGCAAATAACCCAATGGAGCTAGTCCCTCCATAAAAATTGAAAAAACTATATAGCTGTGTTCTCCTTTCACGGAATTAAATCGCTAAAGTCCGAGGTTCGATTCCCCGTGGTGGATATAGCAGATAGCTCAGTGTAGCTTCTCTCTAAAACAAAATATTTTCTGGCTACTAGTTAGTTTAAACAAACCTAAATACAGTTATAGGTGTAAGTAAAATCTGGTGGTAGAAAAACTTGCGTTAATGTGTTATTTTAACCGTAAAATTACCAGACAGAGCACAAATGCAACTTTCATGCTGAGTGTTCAGACAAATCGTTGTTTACCTATGCGATACTTTAAGTTTTGAACTGTATACTGGTTGCTTTCTGTCGTCTTTTTTTCGTCTCTATTATGCTTTCAATTGAATTATTTTGTACATTTTTTGTATATCATTCTATTGATATTGTAAAAGAGAGCTGAGAGAAACGAATTACAACCTATTTGTCATAGTAATAAACCACTTAACTTAATTTTTTTACCTCTTGACTTGTTGCCCTCAGTGGCTCAGCTATAAGTCTGAAGGTTTATAATGTTAAAAAACTAGTTTTGATACTCGTGGCGAGCACAGCATAGATATCCCATTGTGTAGTTTTGTTGCGCATAACAGCAAACAAACTTGACTTGTTGTTTTACAAAACGTCTGCAGCGACATTGCATGAAAATTAAACAGTATTACATGCGAATTAACATGTATAAGAATAGTAATAACTGTCTGGTTTAAAATATTTCATGAAAGGGTTCATACAGTGATAACCATGATACAATTTTGGAATCACATTCTAAGCCTTCTCACCCACCCAAATCACTCTTGTTTATCCACTTGTTGCGAAATATATCAAGAGATTGGATCCAATCATAAATCATTGTAACTCTTTTTCACAACATAGTTAAATAAGCATTTACGCATTTACTGCAGTGCGATATAACGTTGCCTTTTTTTTGAATTTGTTGTTTTATTACTTCTCTTTCCACGTATTCGTTAAGATATAAACAACGTATCCCGATTAGTTGTAGCCAATATCAACTGTTCCTTTTATTTTGCGGTTTTCCTTTCACTTGTATAGTCTGAGGTTTAGTTTTCACTACTCCTGATGATACGTTTAAACCGCCTCATCACCGTATTTGGTGTAATTAGTAGTTATCCCTTCTACATGTCTACACTCAGCTGCCGAGTAATTAACGGCATGCGAGTTGAGTATTACTTTCCGTCTTGTTGATTGCTCTCTCTCTGTCTTCGAGTTAGTGCAGAACACATTGTAAAGACAGTTTTGCTAATACCTTCTAGTTTGGCGCAAGATAGTTTAATTTGTTTTTGTTTTTTATTTCTGACAACTGCTAAGATCTAATTTTTTTCTTTCTCTTCACTCAAACAACATTTCCCCAGTTCGATAAATCGCCTAAGATTAAACGTTAGCAGCTTCCCCTTGCTCGGACACTACTTTAAGTTGTAATTGAATCTATGTTTGTCGACATAATTAGAAAATAATACATACATAATAAAGTATGAATCTAAATAATTAAAAGTTCAAACTTTATTCATCAAGTTACACAAATATTGACGTAATTGAAGTGGTTATATAACCCACTCTTGTAAAAATATTTTTTCTGCCTGATTATATAAGCATAAATAAATACGTTTTAAATGCTGTTAGCCATTCGTTGGAATGAGATCCATTACATCAGTTTTGAGGTGTTGATCTGGGAGATAAACGGACTAACCTGCTAGTTATACAGACTATCATATACCTATTAAAACTACTTTTTCCAACGACAACTTGCTTTCCACTTTGTTTTATATTGATAAAAATGGTAGATTTTTGTATAACTATTTCGTCAACTTTGCTAGTTAGTTTTTTTTTGTGATTACGTTTCCAGATTTCAAGACGAAAAATTCGGTAAAGCTTCTCCTCGTTTTTATGTACTCTGTATGCACTTGTAGCAATTACTTGAGAGTAATATTCAGGTTCCTTGCCACAAGCAAAATTCCTGTCAAATCAACGAGGATGACATTGTGTGAGGAAAGCAAAGTTTCTAGTTAAAGAAATCTTTAGGTTTTCAAAAGTAAACAGATAAAAATAAAATTATATTAAAAAAAAGAGTAAAACGAATCAAATTTTCCTTATAACTCTAGAAGCTTCAAGGCACATTTACTTATTGCTTAAAGCAATTTCATGTATAAATATACTTAAAGAGTAAGGGTACGTATGCCGTCCGTCGCAGCTATATGAAGAGATATGTATATATGTTCCTTGTATTTTGTATCGATTAGAAAATTTGATCGAGGAAAACGGCGCCTCCCTACGAATACTGTCGCTTTTTTTTAAGAAGTTTAACTCAGCAGAATTTGAGCCCTGAGTACACTTATTGATTTCTGTTTTCTCGCCCTTTATGTGCTCAGACTAGTCATGAAAAAGGAACTATTCAGTATATTTATTTCGCCCCAAAATGTACAGACCCAATGAATTTATCTGAAAACGGTAATGAGATTTTAACATGCTATAGTTTTATATTATGTATTGCGAATTGAAAGAGATAATTGGACACATAACTCTGTTAATGTAACCAGCGATACTTTCCTTAAGGTAGTATTTTTAACTATTTCTAATGATTTTGAAGTTGAGATCATTCTGTTAAATAGTACTATTAATCATCGTGTTATTCAATTTTGTTTAGACAAATTTTATCATAATTTAACTATTAATTTACAAAGTATTTAATTGAGTAATTAATAAAGTATTTATGAATTCCCTTGGTATAAATACAACATGGTTATATATGTATATATTTCATGACGTGTATGTGATTTATTTTAGCTCAAACCCACACACACTTAGCTGCCTGAGCTCTGTCCACCGTTGGGAACCAAACCAGGATTTTATCGCTGGAAGTTCGTAAGCTTACCGCTGACCCTTGACTTTTGATCAAGAACTAAATGATAGTTTCATGTACACTCAGCAACTCGGAAGTTTAATAAATCAACGCTACTTCTTAACTCCACACTCTAGTAGGTTGGGTCGTACCTACTGTTTGATTTGAACGGCCCAAGAGTTAGCGGTGGTACTGATTGCTCACTGCCTTCCTTTTTTCTCTACTAATTCAGAGTCAGGGACGACTCTGCGCAGATTATCCAAGTAACTTTGCTCCAATATTCACATAAAAACAAAAAAAAATCATACTATAGCATAATTCACTTCAGTGTAAAATATATCAACTTTGGGATCCGCCATTTCTAAGTACACAAAATGTCACCAACTTGTATTATATTCATTGAAGCTCTTAACGAGAACTACGGCTACGGCATAATAGCTGAAACCTTACTAAAATGTAAATAGAAACATGTAACTTACCCGTTTATTGTGTATTTATTAACATCATTTATTACACAATTACAGCCTACACTTCAGTTAACTCCTAAGATTCTTCAGTAAAAGTATTCGTTAGATCGGCGAAATCTGACCCCTTTTTCTGTGAAAGGGCTTCTACCATTTTTAGAAGTATATCGAACTATTCCAGGTTTGATTTCTGCAGTTTTTAACAATTATATTTGTTATTAATATTAACTTCCGGTTAGAGCAAGCTATTTATTTAGAACGAAACTATAAAATTCAACTTTGTATCGGTAATAAGTATAGCTAATTAAATATGATAATTTGTTTCTGCATTCTTTTTCATAAAGATTAAAACCCATTGTTTCCTCAGTTAGGTGCCCTCGCTGTCAACGATATTTTCGACCTTAATTCCAACAATATCTCACGAGGTTCGACGAGCTTATTCTTCAGTCATTTACTTAAACTATACTTCAACCACGTAACGAAGGAATGCTGTGCGTGGCCTGTGATCAGTGTGCCTGGATTGTGAATCAGAGGGTTTATGGTTCGCTTTCCGTTGACACAAAAACGCGGTTCACACTTTGGGGTCGTGTTTACGCTATAACAATGAGGGTTAAATCCCACTATTCGTTCAGAAAGAGTAGCTCATGAGTTGGTGGTGGGTGCTTTTGACAAGCTGAAGATTGGGGATAGTTATGTCCAGACAGTCCTTGTGTAGTTTTGTGTGAAATTTCTGAAATAAATAAATATTTTAAGGAATGTTTTATAAATTGGTTTAAAGCACTTCATGACTAGTAAACAAACTTCATATATAATCAGATGGCTGCTGAATTACATATATGTATGAGAAGTGTAAAGTTAAAACATTTGTTGTAAATACCAGACAAAAACACAAAATCCTATAACTCGCGCACTTTCGTATCTTTGTCTTTAATTGATTTTTTGAAACTACATGTTTTCCTAACATTATGTTGGAAATAACAGTAAGTACATGATGTGTAACACTGGAATTACAGGTACAACACATGTAGATTACCGATTAATCTCTTGTACTTTTGGAATTACTTGTATATCACGTGTAACGCTTGAATTACCGATGCATCAAGTGTAACTGGATTTTCACTTATAACCCTGGAATTACCCAGTTCATCACGTGTGTTATTGGGTATGCGTTAAAGCCATTTCTATGAGAGGAAACGTAATTAAAAATCATCAAAGTTTAATGATTTATTATATGTATATCCATATAAGGTTCTATACTTGATACGTACTGGATCACTTTAAATATCTTCTCTTCAATTTTACCTTTCAGACTTTTCACACTCCAAGTTTTGGGGATGAAGAGTTTGACATTCCCCCTCTTAACTTGCCATCTACGGAGGTCAGCCATAATGGAGACGTCTTTGGATCACAGGTAAAATATTGTTTATTGTTATTCAATCTAAGAATATGCGGAACAAAGCATTCAATTTAATCAAATGTTTGTTTTACAAAATATAAATATACGTGTATGTTGGAATAATAGATTTAATAATATTGCTTTTAATATTTTTCTCAAACGGTAACAAAACTAATGAAAAATAATTCTTAACCTACATTTATTTAAACCCATACAATTCATCCTAAATAAAATGTAATGCGTAATGAATTGAAAAGAAAAAAATCAGTTAATATAATTTCATTGCTTCAATGGTTTACAAATGAAATTGTTTTTCGCCTTTAACATTTTGCCACTGTACCCAAGTAGGAAAATTTCAAAAGTACAAAAAAATTATCCTGAATATATTTTGTGCCAACAACTTTCTTAAAAGCTTTCACAATCATTATGAAGATAAATGTTTCTAGCTGGAAACAATAGTTGAAAATGTCCTTTTTTTATTCGTTATAAATTAAAGCTCTGTTTGTTCCTATAACAATTTGCATTAATGTAACTCTAGTTTGATTTTTATATCTGTAATTTGAGTTCTTACAGTTCGGGAACTTATATTTATCTCTTTTGGAAATCATTACCATTCACTAATGAGTTTGTTATTTATATCAAGCTTGCAAAATCCATATCATTATAATGTCAGATTAATGAGGCAAGTGAAGACAAATTATGTCATTCTAATTCTATATATTTTATCGTTGAAAGCACTTTATCTGATTAATCTCTATCATTATAGTTCTGCATTAATGATTATGTTTTGCTGCTTTGTTGTCGTATAGTATTTTCCTTGAATTGGCTCTTTCTCTCCCTCTCTCTCTTTTTTTGCTTGTTTTTGCTATCTAAGCATAATAATTTTATACATATTCGCGCATTAAATAAGGGTAGTAGTTTAGGTGAAAGTCACATGGAGGCAGTAAATCGGAATATAGTTTCTCAGTTATTACTTTATTTAGTTACTTAATAGATAATGAGAGGAACTGAGATGAAAGTTTTTGATTATTTTTAATATCCACTTTTCTAGTTATCTTCTTTTTTGCCATCTCATACCTAATTCATGATTATTCGTTGTTTTTTTTTGTTGTTGTTGTTGTTGTTTTTTTGCTGTTATCGGATAAAAAGTTATAAAGATGATATCACGTTTGACAAAACACAGTTTTTAAAAAATCAAGTTATTTTCAGGGTTATGACAAAAAACTTATGTTCCAGCCTTTATCACACCCACAACCCCAGGGACAAGGGTTGGGAATGGACCACCCTGGTGTGATTACTTCCAGTTCTGCTACCAGATCCCCTTCTGTGGGAATAATGGACAATGGCCAGTCACAATATCCAGTGGTTCAAGAAATGTACCTTCCTCACATGGGAGGGGGGGACGGTTCAAGAGGAGTTATGCAGGTTCACAATATGCATGTTCCGTAAGCTCGTTCTTCTGTCACATAATCATTACTAATAATTTTCTTTATGTTCACAAGTAAATACGGAGTCTATAACAGTATAGAAAGTTTAAGTTAAAACGTGTCTATATAATGTTGCTTTTAAAATGACCCTTTTTCTCGTTCTTAAAAGTAAGTATATAAATTCAAAAACCAAACCTATATTTCAGCTGAGTAATCATTGTTGAGACCTCGAATTTTAATGCAATTTCTAAGTTTAATCAAGTAAAGACTCGAATGATAGCAAAAATTACAAAAGTATAGTAGAAAGAGACAAACCTCAATGATATTTTTCTATTTCTAGATAATACGTTTACACTAGTAGTTTGCTAATATATATAATATAATGTTATAATATATAATATTATATGAAAATAATTTGTTTTCAATTTACGCAAAAGTTTGCGACAAGCCTCATGTTGGATGACTATAAAATTTTATTTAAATATGAAGACATTTTTATGTAGCGTTAATAATGACTCTCTAGTGTTAAATCTAGTAAATAATTAAATTATTAATAAAATATGGAAATAACATCTACTGAAGCTAATAAACATAATACAAACTAATTTCTTAACGAAAAGCTAATCATCATACTGAATATATTTTCCACAAGTAGCACAACTTTACCAAACATACTGAGACTATAACCCATAGCAGCAAAATATAAAACATTTCGTTTGTTTTTCTAAATTTCTGTCTCCACCGAATTTGCGGATTTTATTCCAATAATTGACATCAGCACACAGGAGCTGATCCTATTATATTTTAAGTTTGTTTAACTTGAAAGGCATTCATTATGTCAGCATTTTGTTTGTATCATTAAGTAAATTTCAGAACGTTTCTTTCAGGATCCAATCATATAACAGTCATCATGGCTATGGCAACCCACAATTACATCAGTCACAATTACAGAGTATGCCTCCACCGCAACTGCCCCCTAGTGGCCAACATCAGTACCAACAGACTATAAGCGGTCACATGAGAACTCTCAACCAATCACAGCTGTCCTCTCAACTAGGCATGCATATGTCCATGACCCATCCGGGAGCTCAAGCACCAGGGTCTGTGGGAGGATCACCAAGGTCAAACCAAACTTCACCTGGTCATGAAACAAGTGAAGACAGTGACGACAGTAATGCTCTTGCTCAGGTAACGATTTTTTTTTTCAAGTACAAACTTTTAGCTCATAACTCCGTCATCTCTTGACTGATTTTAGATTTAATTACAGTTTTGGACTCAGGAGGTCAAACCCAAGGTTTCATAGATCAGTTTACTCTAATCCTGCCTAAAATAATTTCAATTTGAGGGTAGTCTGTTAGAGATCCTGATGAGTAATAAAATCAAATCGGGTGTATGCGCGCCCCACGCTTGGCATTGCTGGCGCACAAAAATATAGCTAATAAAAAAAGGAAAATAAAGGCCTTATAGATTGATTTTACTCTAACCCTGCGTAATAGAATTTCAAGTGCCGCGGCTATTGAGAATTTCCTCTTGTTTTATACGTAAAGAACAAATGCTTTCAGAAGTTTCTATATGATAGACAGGAAAGTAACAAATGATATAGGATTCCAAGTTCTATCAACAAAATCTTGCGACGTAAAACGATAGCTTATAATTACCTAACAAATATTTGTTAGTCCCATAGTGAGACAGCGATAAGTTTACGGATTTAGAACACTAAAATCCGGGGTTCAGTTTCCCGCGGTGGACACAGCAGATAGCGGATCTGTGGCTCTGCTCTATAGCAAACAAATACGTGTGTTATTTTGTATTGCAAGAAACATACGTTTCACAATTTATTTATCGTCAAAATATTTTTTAACTATACTGAATATTTTAAAGACATCTGATATTAAAATCTTACTGGACAACAACAACAACAAAAAAAAAAGCTTCGTGTAAAAACAAGCTTGCAGTCTTTACAAATCGATACGAATCGTTATATTATTATAATTTTGAATCTATAAAGGTCAAAATATAATTTCAGTTTATGTTTTTATTGTTTTGTTCTGTTTGAAGAAATCGACTGTAAACACCCATTGACGTCGATTCTCAGCACATCCTGCTATGACGGTAAAACAAGACCATGTATTTTTACAACAAACTATATTACATATGTTTAGACTGCAATAACTTCAATCTTTTGTCGGGTCAATACAAACATATGTAGATATGGTAAAAATAAATATTGTAAATACTAGCAAAATTTAGAATTATCGCCCAGTGAAGGTTTACTATAAAGATATTTCGATCCCAACCGTGAATGTAGTCATTTCAAAACCTTAATCAAAAATAGCCTGAATACTAATGAATGTGGCATTCAACACAAAATCTCCCATCGTGTGTTTTGGAAAGAAATGTAGTTGAAAGACAAGTATAGAACAAACTCACAATTTGAGAAAATGATAAGTTGAGTTGTGCGGGTTGAGAGTCCTCCAAACTGACAATCACGAGTCTCCTCGAATCCTTTATGCACATTTCACTCATTTTGTCAGTATAGTTGAAGATGAATTACAATTACGAATTTTATTATTGCCGTTTTGAAGCCAGCCCTAGACCAAAAAACTAAGCTTACACTCTTCTTAAATTGTGCACTCGTTCCACGGTTTTCTTTTATTAGGTGGCTTTCTTGTAATATTAAATTATCATAAAGTTTTAGAAAATAGCAATTTAAAACTATGGATATCAAAGCATACCTTAGCCTGACTTTTTCGTATTGGCCACTCCAGAAGATTGAAGACTTGAAAGAAAGTCTGATAATGTAAAAACTTGGAGTTCTTTTAGACTACAGACAGGAAAATTCAAGGGAGTAAGATACTTTATATAACTTATGAAGAAGTATCGGTGATACTTTTTCATTGGGAAAAATATTCTAAAACCTTTTCTACGTGAAAAAACTAGAGCTTTAAAAGTACAATGTTTTTTATATTATATTTCAGGAAAAGCTAATGTATGTACGATTTTTGCATTAGTCTTGTTAACGTACAGCTTTGTTTTTAACAAGTAACCTTGTACGTTTCTTATATGTCAAAACAACATCTAGCAATTAAACTGATAACTGATTTTTGCTTTTTACCAAATTGGTAGCTTTTTTGTCAGTTATTAAGAAACAACATTTGGAGTTTTTAGATAAAACATTTTTATGGGATTCAGTTAAAAATATTTATCTTAAAAGTTGTTTTAAGTAATATAATACTATAATTGCACAAGTATGTAAAAGCCTAAACATATGTAAATTAAAACACTGTAGGAATTGCAAGTTATATTGAAAAGAACCTTTTCTTATTAAAATCGTTTCCACTGTGCAAAAATTGCTCTCAGTCCAATCCTACAAAAGAAATATAATTTTGCTTTGTTATATACAGCTTTAACATATGTTACATCTTATTTTGTTGTAAGAACCCCGCCCTTATCGAGAAAAAACAAAACAGAAGTGATAATTCTAGTACTTGACGTGATATTAAACAGTATATAGAAAAACAAAACTAGTTAGAGATAGGACAGCAGTATTACAGGAGAATATGGAACAGATTATCAGATAAAACATGAAAGAAAACTGGAAAAATAATTTCAAGAAAAAGTATGGAAACAACCCTATAATGTATCAAAATTAGTATGAAACTATTTATAAGGAAAAATCTGTTTTTTTTTGTTAGTTTTGTGTTATATACATACCGAGTCATTGTACATTTAAGATATTTTTGACTTTTAAAATCGTTGTTTGTGAGTTTAATAACTCACATCTTAAGTTCAATCACAATAAATGGAAACAAAATACATTGTCATCACTGTGTATTTCTATATATATCTTAAACTGGTTAATTTTTCTGTTAAGTGAAAAACAAAATTATACGCCGTTGTTTTTTAAAACATTATAAGTCCTATAAAGAGCTAAAATTCAATAAACAGTGCTAGTATATATATACATGTTTGTATGTGTGAATAATTACGCTTTTTTTTTAGTTTCCTTTCTATCTTTTGGACATGGAAGTTCTTTAGAGCGTTCTTAAATATCGATGTCATTTTCCAATGTTGAATTTAAGCTCAAGAAATCAGTATTTTTTCAGACGTTATCAGTTCATATCTAGGTAACCTGAAAAGAAGAATGGTTTTCTCTGAAGCCATTGAAAATTTAAGACAGCTTGTTAAAGAATCCGGGGAACGAAAGCTATATAAACGTAAGGCACGGTTGTGAATGATTGCTATTGGCCAACTTAGCAATGAAAGTTATCGCATTGAAACAGATGCTTTGCTTCCATTACCTTCTTTATCTTTCTTTTATTTCTAAGCGCGTAGTTCAGTCACATTTATAACATTCATTCAAGTTTGAACTATAAAATGTGATGTTCTTCAAATACTTTAACATGCTCATGACTGTAGTTTTATCAAGATTTTAGGCTATTCACTATAACGCCAGTGAAATAAGACAGTAAATCGCAATGATAATGAAAATGCCACGTACATAAAATGAGAGAATAAAATATATTAAAGCTATTTCCATGAAATGACTTTCTGCTGAAAAGTGAAAAAAAATTTAACAAATGATCTCAAATGAATACAAAAAAAATTAAATGTATCCATTACCACACTAGTAAAAAAATTTCAAACCTCTATCGCAAATGAGATATGTTGAGCTTTTCTTCCTGCAATACTCTAAAATGTTTCCAAAAAGTTTTGTTAAGTATAAGACTTTCCTAACTTTTATACTTTATTATAAGAAAATCAAATTTAAGAAAGATGTCGCAAGCAGTATCAAACCAAATATCACACAGTGACTGGGTTTCGTCTTCCTGTAATTTACATTTTATAATTTCATAGAAGTAATAAAACTTCT